GAAAACGAGCAGTGTGCAATGTAAATGTCACTCACTTTATTATTGTGGTTAAATGCTTTTAATGGTTAACAATGGTTGCAATAGTCCAAGATGCTTATATAAAGACGTTACTTCATTTAGCTAGGAATATTCGAAATAGCAAAATCATTACAGTTCTAAACTGACACAAAACTGACACTGTTGGTCTAACTATCATCCGATGAAATTAATTGAGATTCTGTGTTTGGTTATAAAATCCTCTAAATCCTACGGCTTCGAATAACTCTTAGTTAATTTAGAACTGTTACAGTCTTTTTAGGGTCCAATGCCATGATCTGGCCTAACATGCTGAAGCTAATGATCGCTGTGATTGTTGCAAGCATTGCGAGAGTAAAAGTACCGAGGTATACGTTTTCGGTAAGCTTTTTGGCAACAGATATAGGGACTCGAAACGTTTCGGCATTAGCTTAACGCCCAGAGAGGGACATACGATTAGACGAACTGTCACGCATGATTAATACATCTCCCTATGCTCAACAAACAGAAAAGCTAAAGTTCCGTAACAGGGACGTAAATGCTTTTAGTAAAGCAGTTTGTTCATCAATATGATCAACACAGCGATGGTTCCACACATGACAACTTTACCACGTGAGATCTCAGCAGCACCAGTCCAGTTTGGAGGCTTGTCTGACACTGCCAGTGTCTGGGTGCTGTTGCAGGCTTTATCAGAACACGAGGCCAACGTCCTCACACAGACATTGTGTCCCTCCACTTTCAACGGGAGCGTTCCTTGTTGTACAGCTGAGGCAAATTCTTGGATGGTCTAATTGAAGACAATAGATGGGGTGGATGTAATGACGATACCCAGGGCTTTCTTATCCGCTAATAAGACGACAATTTCCAGGTTTTCTGGATCTTCAGCCCTCATAGTATAGGCGAGCCAGTCCATTACATCTGAGTTCCACCTCAAGGCACCTGCAATGGCTGAGCCAACTCCGTCTGCGAATCGACTTTGAGCATCAGACTCAGGAAGAGGATCAGTTGAACGCATTAATCGCACAAAAAACCTTTTAATATTCAGTTTTATCACTCTGACTGGGCCATCTTTTAGCTCTCCGTAGCATTTCCTGATGTCAGCGGACCATTCACATTCATTTCCTATGTTCCACAATCCCTTGAGAGATTTCCAGATTGATTATTAACGCAGACGCTTTGTTTTGGTGATGAAGGTAAATGACAGAACCTTTCTTCTACCCTTGCTGCACACAGTTTCCGCTCTAAACGTCGATCTACCGTCGTCACAAATGTCTTACGTGGCTCTGGTTGTTCCCTTTTTCACACATTTCCCTTGGTGCACCACAATGAACACAGCAAAGAATAACCACAGCCAGCACGGCCAAGTTTACAGACGACTTCATCACGCCGCCGTGCAAAGTCTAAACTAATGCAAAGTGGATAAGTCTAGAACAACAATGTGTATAAGTGTCAGCCTTAGAAACTTCGAACTTTCCTGCGAAAAAGGACATCTCACTTAGATTCTCCATGTTTACAAAAGCAAATTATCCATCTTAGTGCGCATGCGCAATCATTTGACCGCGGTGTTTGAGTCATAAGTTGCGATAACTGCCCTTATTACACGACTCGGGCAGTCAGAGGGCCAATAACTAAAATCAAGCAATCAAAATGCTCTATTGCCGGTCCAATATTCTCTAAGTATTGGACCGGGCACTGTCCCGAATGGTCCCGAATGATACCACATTTGTGTCCCTTTGAACTTCAGTCGTATAATAAATCTTTTATTAACCAAGCTTGCTCGGGACCGTACTGGAAGAATATCGACCCTCGGTCTTTATTGTACGGACCGAGCGCAGCGAGGTCCGTACTGTCAAGACCTCGGGCCGATATTCTCCCAGTACGGCCCTCGCGCTTGGTTAATAAGATATATGAGTTGACCACTCTCAAGATTCACGTGAAACTCCGTTGAAGACTTGGCTCCTTACGGAAAAAGACGGCCATGGTTGTGCTGCTCATTGCACTTGTGTTAAATTGACGGGAAGACAGTAGTTGACTCTTCATTTTCACTAATTTGTTGTTTTAAGTCCTGCACGTACTTATTCTGCATGTCCAATAATTCACCAGTTATATCTGTCGGGCACTGTTGGTCCAATAAATGGGGTTCTAACATGTCCACTAGTAAGCAATAAAAATGAATTTATTAGAATGTCTTATTAATTTGTTTAACAGGAAATACTCAAGTAAAGAGTAACTTATTATAATTTTACTTAATTAGCCTTTTGTTTTAGTGAAATAATAACATAAACTGTTGGTAATTTTGATTTTATTTCGTGAACATAGTGTAAGCACTCTATAATTCAAACACTCAAAAATAATTCAGAGACAAAAAAATCAGAAATATTGAGAATATAACTTAATAGTAAATAATTAAGAGGAAAGACATCGTAAATTCAGCTGAATAGAAAGTCCTAACTTACTAAATATTTCAGAGGCGCTGTTTTTGTTCTGATTGAACCTTTTCAGCCTCAAGTCTTTCAACCTATAGTCTTTCAGCTTCAAGTCTTTCCGCTTCTTTTCCTAGCAGCTAAAGCCTCGGCTTGGATTTTCCTCTTCTTTGTCTCTCGATATTCTGCCCGATCATTACGTACGACTGCTTTTTCGATGTCCTTTTCAGTAACATTGTTATGTCCCCGCTTTGTCAATGGTGCCCAGTCTTGGTCTGCTGTAGATTTAAAATAAGCTGGTTCCCCTACAGCAAGGAATGTAATTTGACCTGTTTAGAACAAAGGGCGCGAACACACGTGGAAGCCGTGGAATAAGGCGAACATTCCGCGGCCGTAATTTTTAATAGAATATATTAATCATAATTGATCAAAACATAATTCTAACCTAATGCATGGAAATCTAAAAAATCGATACACTCCTTTGTCCCTGATACTAATGTAATCACATTCCTTAACCGCGCAAAGAACAAAGATCAACCATTGAAAAAGCACCTAGAAGAACAAAGAATATCGGTGATCCCTGA